GAACCACTTTGTCTGATTCTGGTGCCGTTACTTATGGGCAGCTTCTAGGGTGACCAGCCATGGGCTTCCCCAGTAGCGGTTGCTTGGCACCAGGCATGTTGTCCAAGCAGGCGAACCTGTAGCAGAAGCCTTGTTTCCCTCATCTGGGAAACTGGGTCATAGCTGTCCAGGCTGGAGGCTGCTGGGGTGCGGTGCCCAAGAATTCCATCCAGACCCCTCTGACCTCCTTCCTGTGATCCCACCTGACATCTGAACCCTCTTCCCCACCGCCACACTCCAGCCTCTGAGGCCCCTGCCGCCTGTTCTCTGGGTTGCCCTCACCTTCCTGCCTCCTGCCTGTTGCTAGTTCTGGATCCCCCCTTCTTGGAAAATCAGCCATCCTGGTCCCCGTTGGGGAAGCCATTCCTGCTTCTTCCAGCCAGGTGGCCCCCACAGCAGGAGCCAGGGCTGTCTGTTGCACCACTACCCCGGTGCCAAGGGGGCAGGCTCACTGTTGGTTGATGTCTTCCCCGATTTCAGCCTCAAAGCACCTTTCCACAGTCCTCCTGCACAGGGCTCAGCTCTACATTGCTCTCACGTCATTTATAATCGTGTCTCAGCCTTGTTCCTGCATGCGGACCCAGTATCTGTCTCCCCCCTGACTTCTGACTCTCTGCCTGGTACACAGCACTCAGTTAGCCCTTCCTTCACTCCGCGGTTACTCACCAAGTGCCTGCTGCATGCCGGAGACACAGATCTGCCAGTTTTAGGGTGCTGCATGCACAGTTGTATGTGTGTTTTGCACCCGTGTGTGCACAGGGTCATGGTGTGTAAGCACCACTGTCACATAGGAACACAGTCTCTTAGGCTGTGTCTGTGCGTAATCTCAGGGATTCCTTGGGCTGGCCTGGTTCATTCAGCACATTTTTGCTGAGCTTTCAGTGAGCAGCCTCCATCCTAGAGAGCGACTGTCTCACGGTCTGCTGCAATGCAGGCTGGGAAGAGCTGGGAGGTGGGACAGGTGGTGAGGCCATTCTTACCTGGCCTCAGTGTCTTCTGCGATTCTGAAGCACCTTGGAGGGTGATAGGCTAGGGTGTGGATGAGTGCACAGCAGCCCTGTGCTCTGTGCCCCCAGAGGAAACAGATGACTGCAGCGCACAGAACACGGGACCCAAGGGCAGTGCTGAGCCTGGGATGCAGAACTTTCTATAGGACGAGAACCTGGGACCAGCAACTAGAACGCAGCATCTACCGGCCCGGTGCCTAGAATGTGGATGCTCTGCCTTCCAATGGACGAGCTGGATACAGAACTGGAGCATAGCGCCACAGAGCGGCAGACTTCAAGTGGGATCTTCTCGATCACTGAGGTTGGCCCTTGGTGGTCAGTGGAGAAACTGACACTCAGAGAGGGCAGACCCTGGCCCTCAGTGAGCAGCTGCTGGCATACACTTGGTCTCTGCCCAGAAGCCTTGCTATGAGCCCTCCCAACTGCCAGCTGGGGCCTGATCATGGACAAGTCCCACCCTTTCGCTAGGACTCAGCCTCCCCATCTGTGAAACAGGCTTTGAGGCTGCAGTGAGATGGTGCACATCCAGTGGGAGCCAGGGTCACGCAGGAGGTCAGTGGCACTGCCAGGACCTGCTCCTGGTCATCGGGCTCCTGGAATTTCCTTCTCACCTGGCGGTGGCTTTGCTGCTTTTCCTTGTCCCCCAGTGTTGGCGGCAGGTTTGTGTTCTGCGCATCTGTTTTGTAGTACTTTCTGGTGAAGAAGTGAATTGATCGACAGGGCAAGAACAGACAGCCACCTCATGGTGCTAAGCAGCAGTGGCCTGATCCCTGCAGCCTTTGGTGGCATCCCCTGCCATTTGGTACTGGCTTCCTGAATGTCCCCTGTGGAGATGGGCAGGTCCTGACCCGAGAGAGCCAAGGCCTCCTCACAGAGGAGACCAGTCTGCCCCTGCCGTGGTGTGGTCGCCCCTCAGTGCTTGCCACCATCAAAAGTGCCCTCCCAAGATAACAAGATGGCCACTCTACTGCCTGGTGACCTTCACTGTCACCCTCAGAGGCTCCGGAGAGTGAGGCGGTGGTTTGATTCTCAGGGTTGGCCGAGGGAGCAGGCGGGCTGGCTGAGGCTTTCACCTCCAGGGCGACTGCACACCCTTAGCACAGCCCTGCAGGTGGCTCAGGGTCCATACAGTGACTCTTCCAGACCCAGCCTGGCTCTCAGCTGCAGCCCTAGGCACAGGGCAAAGCTGTCCCAGTGGGGTAGAGTACTTGGGAGGAGAGCAGAGAAAGGCTGCATTGTTCCAGCTTCCTGTGGGTTGCAGGCAGTTACCAGGTGCCAGAGCCCCAGAGCTGACCAGCTGTGCATGAGCTCTGTCAGGACTGAGTTTCTCTAGATACTCAGGCCTGAGCCCCCACCCCCGCCAGCTTCTCCCCTAGGTGGCCCTGGGTTTTGAGCTTGGTCCTTTAATCAGGAGCCACTCTGAACACCCGCTGTGTTCCAGGCCTGCTCTGGTCAGAGAATCATGGTGGAGAGCTTCGGTGTGGACGGCCGAGAGCAGGATCCTGACCTACTCAGCCTGCCTCCTCATTTCCCATGTCCTTCCTTCGCATGACTCCTCCCAGCCCTCTTGGAGCGGGCTGAGTGTCTTGAGGACGAGAGTCATTTCCTGTGTCTCCTCTCTGTACCCCAGGACCTCCATGGGATTGCAAAGGGACCCTTAGAATCCACACAAATGAGCCACTTCTTTGGGGTGCGGGACGAGGACCCCGGGCCGGGTTTCTGAGGCCCAGACGAGGCCCGAGAGCCTGGCAGCATGATGGAAACTGTGGGGTTGCAGACTCGGGGCGGGTCATTTTCGTCCCGCCGTGGTGAGCCCCTCCTTAGTGTCAGCCGTGGGATGGAGAGGTGTGTGGAAAGGGGCTGTGGGAGCAGGCGGCACTGTAACTCTGGTCCGGGTCAGTGCTGAAGGGACAGGAATGAAGAGGAGCTCAGCCTCCTCCGAGCTTGAACTTTATCCCCAGGGCACCGGGTACAAGGGGACTGCAGTGCAGCTTGGCCTTGCTGGGCTCCTCTGGGGATGTGTTCTCGAGTGGGCTGTGTGTGCTGCTGGGGGGTGGGCCAGCCTGGGCCGGGCTCCGGGAGGGGAGACGGTTTGAAGTTGGCAGTGGGACAGACAGGTGAGGAGGTCGGCGTGCAGGATGGTTGAGGGTGGCCCTGGCATAGGTGGCTGGCTGGTCAGGTCTCCGACTGGTCCCAGCAGGAGGGATTTCGGGAACGCCAGAGCTGTGAGAGCCAGGCACAGGTCACAGGTTATCAGCTGAGGTTGCTGGATGACCAATGGGGCAGTGCGTCTGGCCTGCCGAGGAGGTGTCCTAGAAGCTGTGCCAGCTGCCGGGCAGGACTGGAGCTGGACTCCCTGTGACCCACAGCCACTGCTCACTGTGCTCCTTGCTGTCCTACCTGGGTCATTCCCACCGAGTCTGCAGGTCCCCTCCATAGCCCCTCACTGTGTCTTACACCCTCCACCTGGCCCTGTACCCTGGTCTGACCCTTGCCCAGCCACTGTGCATGGCCCCACCCCACGATGCTTGGCACAGGGCTTCCTTGGCCATAGTGTGTTTCTGCCAGCCGCCTCCGTACTGGAGAAGGCCCCAAGAGACAGGAGGAGAAGGGCACTCCCTCCTTCCCTACCCCCAGCTTCTGGGCTGGAGACGAGCTGAGACTCCACACTGAAGTGGCCTTTGTGCATTGTCCCTGGACTGGGCAGGAGGGGCTAGCACTGCCGACTGGGCAGGATTGCGCTGATCTTAGCTGGCTGGGGGCAGGGATCTTTCTCTGGGCTGCCAGGGCACGGGAGGGCGTGTTGTCAGGGATGGGTACTCAGTGGCCTGCACCCCAGGCATCCCCGAGCCAGATGGTGCTTGTCACTCTAGTGTGTGGTCCCTTCTTTCCCAGCAGGGTTTCTGTGCCTTCGGACTGTTTGGTCCTCATTCAACGGCTGTTTACGAAGTGCCTGCTGCAGACCAGGGACAGACCAGCGGGGACCTTTCTGTCCTGTGGTTGACATTTCCCCCCGAGTATTCAGGCTGGGGATGGGGAGACGTAAACAAGGACAGGAGGTAGCAGTCTTGTGGGATGAGCACGTGAGGGGGACCAGGAAGCCTTCTCTGAAGGATGGACCGGTGACGTCAGAAAGACGGGAGATGTCAGCAGAGATCGGAGGGAAGGACCTTGCAGCCAGTGTGAAGACCCCTCTTGTGGGGCTCAGCCCAGGCTCAAGGGGAGCCTCATGGATGGAGAAACCGAAGTCAGCAAAGATGCAGGGTCCAGGCTAGCAGGGCTTAGGGCACCCACAGGCGTCTGGGTTTCATTCTGAGTATGACAGGGGCACGAGGGGCTTCAGTGCCCCTCACTGCTACAGAGCAGGAGGGAGCTGGACCTTGGGGGCCGCAGAGGAGCAAAGGTGCCAGGTTCTGGGAGGGCTTTGGAGGGGTGGCAGCACCGTGTGGGCCTCACCAGATGCATGGCCGGGCCATGTTGTGGGGGCACAGGCCCAGCACGGAGCTCGAAGGACAGGTCTGCATTGGGGGTTGGATGGCCTCACTTCGAAGGTGGCAGTGCTGAGGTCTGAGAGATGAGGTGACACAACGTGGGGATTGAGTCCAGACCCCAGGAGGCTGCTGCCCCTGAGCTGCACACCCACACTGTCTCAGGAGTGGCTGAGCGTAGCAGTCTCCCCCACCACTGGCTTGGAGCCTTTCAACCCCCCTCCTCTGACCTCCCCTGTCCCAGTCTCCTTCATAAGCCGGCCAGGGCCACACCCTCTCAGACCACTACCAGCCTCCACTCTGCCTGGGAGATACCTCGTCTGCTTGGGTCTAGAGGAGAGGACACCGGATCTCCATTTCACTGATGTGTAAACTGAGGCAGGGCAGAGCTGGTCATGGTCCCGACCCCCGGGATTGCTTTGCTTTCTCTCGTTGCTACTCCAGGCAGGGCAGGGCTGCTGGTTGGGATCTGGGAGGTCCCTGGTGACCTCTGGATTCCTCGTGAGACTCCCCAGTGAGAACCTGGCTGGGGTGTGGCTCAGTGGGTGTTGCTGGAGAACTGGCTGCATGGACCTCTTGAGGGGAAGCTGGGTTCTCCTGACTCTAATCAGAAGCTGTTAATCATTAATCACCTCTCTGAGTAACAGTAGCAAAGCCCAGCTGCCTCCCTATCACCCTGGCGCCCCTCTGGCTACCTCTTTGTTCCTCTTTTCCTTCCTCTTGACCACACCAGCCCTTGCCCTTACCTTGGGCTGTCTCCCTGTCATCAGGTGCCCTCTCAGCTCTTCCCGTGGGGGCAGTTCTCGGCAGTCTATCCGGTAGATCCTAGCCCTTCTTGTAGATGGAGACGTTGGGGCCGGCCTGCCCCAGGGGACCCCATCTGTCTGTTCCTTTCCTGGACTTTGATCCCGTCAGCCACTTGGGAACAGGACTTGGGTCTGGAGGCGGACAAGCAGAGGGAAGTGTCTTTCCAGGCTGATGCAAGTGGGGAGGTCCAGGAACTCTTGCGCAGGCACGGTTGAAGGTGGACCCTCAAAAGAGGTAAGGGCTAAGCCCAGGTAGGCAGAAGAGGGAGGAGGCCCTGCCCCGGAGCGTACTGTGCAGAGTTCCCTGACTCAGTGTGTGCACAGTCCCCTCCCTGCAACCTGAATGCTCGGCACTGCGGGTTTAGCCCCCTTCTGGGCTGGGGTCTGATTTATGTTCTTGCCCCAGGAATGGATGCCTTGCCAAGGCCAGGCGGTACAGTCACTCTCTGGGGGAATCCTCCGGACCACAGTTTCTCATTCATGACCGGCTGCAGAGCTCAGACTCTGCTCTGGCTGAAGAAGAGCCCCAGCACCCTCCTCAGCAGGTAGCTGGACACTAGTTGCTTTCAGGGGAGGCAGCATGGACTCTAGTCCCTTGTCCCTCTCCGTCTATACTTCCTTTTTTCCCCCCACTACCGGGGATTGAACTCAGGACTTTCACACTGAGTTACATCCCAGCTCTTATTAAAAATTTTAAATTTTGAGTCAGGGTCTCACTAAGTTGCTGATGTGGGGCTCAGACTCCCAATCTTCCTGCCTCAGCCTCCTAGAGTGCTGGGATTACAGTCATGCACCACCGCACCTGGCTCCCCTGCCTCGTTTGAAACACTGCGTCCCTCTGCACAGAGGCGGTTTATGTCTGAGCTCTTCTGCCTGCAAGGGCCCCTCCATTCCCATCCACATCCCACTGAGAAGGTCCAGCAGTGCCCCCCAGAGTCAAGGTCTTGACTGTCCCTCTGCCCAGAGAGGGAGGAGCAGCATAAGGCTCAGAGGAGGCAGATGTGTGGTTTCCTGGGCACTTGGCCTCAACAGCGCCTGACCAGGAAACACAGGTGCTCCACCTGGCTGCAGCGGCTCCCAGGGTGAGAGACTACCTCTCCTGGCTGCTTAGTTACCTGTTTCACAAATGAGGAGACTGAGGCTCAGGCATGTGGCAAGGTACCCAGCTGGGAAGAGGTGGAGCCAGGAACCAGCCCAGGTGCAGGGCTGGGCTGGCATTGGCCTGTGCCAAGGCCAGCCCGTCAGTAGTCACCTAACTGACACCTGCACTAGTCTGAAAGGCAACAGACAGCGTTTGGGGAGGAAATGGCTGTCATACGAGTCAGGTAGAGTCTGGGACACACAGCAGCTGGGACTAGATGCAACCCACTGCCCCAAATGTGGTGGCGCTGCCGGGGGCTTCATGGCAGGTACCAGGTGACAGGAGGGTGGGCAGCGATGTCAGGAGGGGCCCAGAGCGTGGCCCAATGCAGGGTGGAATGGTGGGGCATTCAGACCATGGGGCCAGAGGGTGGCATTGGTGTAGGCCTCAGAAGTGCCCTCCAATCGGCCCCCAGCCAGTTACAGGTTGGTGGGGGCAGCTGTGGGCCCAGGGGTCTAGGTGGGCATCCCCAGGCTGCGCAGGGCTAGGCCAGCTGCAGGCCAAGGTGAGGCAGATGCCAGGTGAATAGAAGCCGCCTGAGTAGATGTGTCCGCTTGAGTTCCTGGTGATCAGAGCTGGGGGCGGGGATGAGGAAGGAGGGCACCAGGATAGACATGGGTGTGGTGAGAGGGGGAAGGGCAGATCGGCTGCAAAGGTGCAAAATCCAGAGCACGGTTGGGTGGAACCAGCCACCTGAGCCCAGGGCCCGCCTGGGTGTTTTCCTATATTTTCAGGCAGGAAAGCCCCGGGGCCAGGCTGCTCGTGACCTAACTCAAGGCTCTGTGGAGGGTGACCTGATCTGCCGGTGCTCAGTAAAAGATCCGTTTTAGAGTCTCCTCTGCAGTTTGGGGAACTTTGGCCTTTTTGAGAAGTGGTTTGAAAATCCCTGCAGCCAGCCTGGAAGACGATGCCAGGGTGAGAGGGGACCTTGCCCCTGAAACCCTGAGTGAGGAGTCCCTGGGTGGTGCTTGCGAGCGAATCTGCTGTGCCAGCCACCAGCTGTGAGTCAGGCTGGTCCTCTGGCCTCTGTGCCTGTGAGGATGAATGGAGGCAGATGAGGGGCACAGGGCATCGGCAGCAGAGGGCACTCTGAATGGCAGCTGTAATGGAGAAGGGGAGGAGGACGGAGGCACCTCCTGGGAGGAGCGTTCCTGCCCGCTGTAAGCTTGCCCACTGCCCGGGGAGAGGCTGAGCTGCATGGGGTGCTCACCTCACTGCCCGGGGAGAGGCTGAGCTGCATGGGGTGCTCACCCGGATTCCCAGGCAGCTGCAGAAGCGTGGGGCAGGGCCCTAACCCCCTCCCAAGGCCTCTGGATTCCCAGGATGCTGGCAGTGGTGCTGGTGGGTGGCTGGCTGGCTCAGGATCCTGCTGCCTCTGCACAGTGGCCCCTCTACTTGAATGTCCTGTCCTCGAAGGACGCTCCCTGACACCTGGTTTCCCCTCTCTGAGCTGGTGTTTTCATTTGTCCTTTATCCCCTCTGCTGGGCCGAGCTCTGCAAGGGCCTTGGCCTTCGGTCTTGCTTCCTGCTGTGCCCCAGTCCCCAGCCCAGAGGTCATTCTGCTTTGCCACCCCCCCACCTTCGGGCAGAAGCACCTGCGTCCCCTAGACCCTCTCACAGCCCTGGGGCGCCTTTCCTGCACCCTGTGAGTCCCCACGGGCTCAGTGCCTCCCGGCTGGGCATCTGTGTTGCACGAGGGAGGGCCGCATCCCCAGGAGACACTAGCCCCTGTGCCTGGCCCCACAGCAGGGCTCTATGCTCGGTTTCATGCCCCTCACTCCTGCCTGCTCTGGGCTGGGCCACCTCACCGCTCCCTCTCCGGAGTCCTGAGGGGTCTCAGCAAGAGCTCCTGGCTGCCCCTTCTGCCCACAGTGCTGTTCCCTTGGGCCGTCTGCGACTCTCCATTTCAGGTTGTGTGTGGCCGAGGCAGGCAAAACTGAGTGCCTCTCTGAACTCTGTCCATTCAGCCCCGCACCAGGCAGGCCTTTGTTCTCTGTCCTCCGCCCTCTGATGTTCATACAGTGCTTCCTACTCTGTGGCCTTGGCCAAGTCACTGCACTTCCCTGGGCTCAGTCGTCTGTCTTGTCCTCGCAGTGAGGGACACAGTCATGGTGGGGCTTGTCAGACCTTTTGTTTTGGGGTGAGTGTTAGGCACAGACCCCAGGGCTTTACCTATGCTGGGCAAGCGCACCGCCACTGGGCAACACACCCAGCCCTTTGAAAACTAAATTTATTTTGAATTTTGGGATAGGATCTTTCTAAGGTGCTCAGGCAGGCCTCGAACCTGGACTCCTCCTGCCTAAGCCCTTGATAGCTTGCAATGGCAGGCATGCTGCAGCACGCCCAGCCTCTTGTTGGACTTTATACCCAGAGTCCTGGCTCCATCTTCGGCACCCTGCCCTCCCTCTTCCTGTACAGATAGTGCCTGCAGTCCTCATCACAGGCCTGGGGCACAGACGCCATGGGGTCCCTTTGGACAGGGGAGGGACTGAGAACCCCTTATAGTCAGGTTCCTTCTGTGTCCCACCCCTTACCTGTCCCCTCACGTCCCAGCTGGCCCTGTGGTGTGCATCAGTCGCGCCTGGGGCCTGCGTCATTTGGCTTTCTACCAGCTTCACTGTGCCTTGTGCACTGCTGACCTCCTGGACCCGCTGCATCTCCTCGGCCCCACCCCCTCTCCCTCCTTTGCAGACTTTGCCCAGGCCCCACAGCAGCTCTGCCTCCCCTCCCAAGGTTGGGAGTGCAACTTCTGGCCTCCTGCCTCACTTTTCAGGGTTCCCCAGAGCTGCTTCCCTTCCTGCCGTAGTTACTTGCTGCTCCATGGGTGCCCCTGAGCTGGGACCTTGTCATCAGCTGCCCACTGTCCTATACCTGGCCCTGCTGGCCTGGCTTTTCCCTCCTGTGGCCCCATCACTCTGGTGGGCCTGGTGCAATGGGCTGGGCTGGTTCTCTTTCTCCCATTGAGAACAGTCTAAACCTGTGTAGTCCAGTAGAGCAGCTGCCAGCCTGTGTGACCGTTTTACACTAAAATTAAATCATAAATGAGTTCCTTGGTTGCTGCCCCCAAGTTCACGGACTCACTGCCCACTGGTGGCTACTGGCTGTCGTGTTGGCTGGCATAGGCCAGGCACATTTCCTCCCCTCCTGTGAAGTGCTACAGCTGAGCACATTGGTCACCTGAAGACATGGGCTGATGGAGTGTGCTGCCTCTTCTCTACCCACCCCATCCGCTTGGATGGGGCTGTGTGGGTCTCAGGCCCTGGAAAACAGTGGGTTAGCACAGATGGGGAGAGGAGTGGTCTGGACCCTGATTTCTTCATGTTTAAAATGGGGATGATAGTTCCTACCTCCAAGGGTGCTTGTGTGGGTAAAGCATATGTAAAGTGCCCAGCCGATGCCTGATGTGTATCAAGCATAAGTGACATCTGTCACTGTCAACAGGAACAAGGCAAGGCGGGCAGATCATGGAAGGTGGGCTTCTCAATGGACACGAGTCTCGCTGTGGACAGTGGGATCCGTTGTAGGCTTCTGAACTCAGTGCTCTACTGGCCAGTGCCTGGAGTGATTAATCTGTTTAAACTCCAGCACTGTCCAGTGGAATGTTCCATATCCACCTGACCATGGGCATCTGGGGACAGAGGCTGACACAGCCAGTGAGTGACTTTGGGAGGGGCAGAGTTCCAGTGGGGGTGGGTCGCAGCCTGGGAAACAACTTTCCCAGGCACCTGTCGGCCACTCTGGGAAAGTTCCGAGGCAGCCTGCAGGTGCTGGGACCTGGCTGAGGAGGGACAGGTGCAGAGGGAGGAGAGGGCAGGGGTGCAGCTGGCTGTAGGGGAAGAAGCTGAGAAGAAGGTTCCCACCCCTAGCTAAGCTGGCACACCCAGTGGGGCCCAGACACACCTAGGGAAGTTGGGTGTTCCGGTGGCTAGGACACTTTGTCTTCCCAGTGGCTGGAATGAGAACAGCTTTCACTATGGCTCTGTCTCTCCTCTGTGACTTTGGCTTTGTCATATGTAGACGGCTCAGTGGCACCTGTTCCCTGACAGGGTGCAAGGACCTTCTGGCTAACCTGGGAAGATGAAGTCCTTGTCTAGGACTGCTCCTCCCTTCCAGGACTCCCTCCCTCTGGGTCCTGGGGTCTTGGCACATGGTACCCCAAATTCTCTTTCAGCCAGCCCATTCTTGTTTAGCTGAGGTAGGACCCCCAAATCTGCAGCCCATCTGGGGTTCACGTCAGTCTGCAGCAGGTTCAGGGAGTCTCAGTTCTGTGTTTTAGTCCCATAAATTCATGTGACTTGAGTGGGTCACCTGACCTCACATGTTCCCGTCACTCCGTGGAGACGCACAGGTGCTCCAGGGTTGGCCTGGAGACCCCAGCCTTTGCAGCAGCAGTGCCTGGCACACAGCAAGGGCTTGGGAATGTGCACCATTGGCTGGATCCCCTGCTGGCTGTAGAATGACCACTGTGTGTAGGGGCGGCCCTCATGGAGCCCGGCTGCTGGGAATTAACCAAAGGTATCGTGAAATGGAATGAGCTGAAGGATGAAGCCCAGCACCGGCTGCTTCTTGCATCTTTCTGGACCTCCAGAATCTGCTGGGTTCTGTAGCTGTGCCCTCTGCTTGTCAGCCCACACGGGGTCACGAAACCACAAGTTGGAATGACCCTTGTCCAGTCTCAGAGACCAGAGGAGGTGGTGCTGTCCTCTGAGCCCTGAGATGCCGACTTGCCCTGCTGTACCCCCAGGAAGGAACAGGCCGCCGTAGCAGAGGCTACAGGGAAGCTGGTTCAGAGCAAGAAGAAAGAGAGACAGGACAAGCGGGGACTGATGTGCGTGCCGCGGGGGCACTGGCTTGGATGACACCTGGACAGTAATCGTACTTGGGGCCCCAAGGATCTGGGGGAGAAGCCTGGACCCCTATGCGGTTCCAGATGTCCCAGGTCTGGCCGCAGATCCTGCAAGTCTGCTGAGTGTCTGAGAACTATCGTGTAGGACAGCGGATGCCAATAAGTGGTAAGCAGCTCCCAACTGGCCCAGTCCTCTAACAGAGCCATCTGGAGGCAAGGCATGCTCAGCACACCTGGCTGCATCTGACTGTCTGGCAGCAAACCCAAATGGAAGGAAGGAAAAAATAGACATTTACAGAGCATCCACCTGTGTCAGGCTCATTGCAGGATGTTTAGACCCCATGGGTCGAGGACTGAAAAGGACATGACCTCTTCCTTTTACATCTGAGAAGATTGAGGCCCAGAGACGCTAAGTAACTTACCAAGTGCACACAGCTAAGTCACAGCATTGGGATTTGAACCAAACCCTCTGGACTTCCAGGAACAATGAAAGCCAGTGCTTATTGAGCATCTGCTAAGTGCCTGGGCAGTTTTCCCAACCCATTGCACAGGTTAATGGAAGGGGAAATATGCATGGGGTGGTGGTGTGATCTGCCAAGGGCACAGGCAGGGTTGATATGTGGCTGCTGTGGCCATCGTAGCCTCTCTGGTGCCTCAGGAGCTGTTGGACACAGGGGTTTGCTGCAAATTCTCCCTCAGCTTGTTTTTGAAGGTGAGCAGCGCCCTCGGGTGGCCTGGCACAGGCCTGGTGTGTGCTGGGGGATGAACATGGGGTGGGTGACGTCAGCTCAGAGTCAGGTGCCCGTTCAGTCAGATGAAATGACTCCTGGGGGTCAGTGAGGGCCCATCCCCAAAGGTGCTCTTGTACTGGGGCTGCAGATGGGCCAGTTCCTGCCCAGGAGTGGAGGCTGACGTGGGCCCTGGAGAGCCCCCATGGACACCCCAAGGTTGCCTTGAGAATCTCCGGTTGTTGAATTGTCCACCTGTATTTACAGGTGGCCACAGGCCCCTTCTGGTTAGAGTATTTGAGTGGCACAATGAGTCCCAGAGCTAAGGACTCTGGAGATCGGGTGTCTGGGGTGGGGGAAGGGGGATGGGGCCACTGGGTGGCAGATAGGGGATATGACCCTTAGGACATGAGCCATGTGAATCACAGAGAAGGCTGGCAGGGCCCTGGGGGAGGCCAGCCAAGGGCACCCAAGGCCAAGCTAGGACCCTGGTCAGCGCAGGCGAGCTCAGGACCATGGAGAGCTCATGGGCACTTCTTGTCACCTCAGTGACAGCTGTCACTGAGCCTGTACCCTAAGGCTGCTGCCTGCTCAGCTGACCCCTCCCTCCATCAGCTTCCAGAATGCACCTGGCTGTACTCAGCCTGAGCCCTGACTGAGGTCATGGCTGGGTCATTGTGATGGTCACTTTTAGGTGTCACCTTGGCTGGACTAAGGGACACCTAGAGCAGGAGCTTACTTCTGTATTACTTCTGAGTGCATCTGGGAGGGCGTCCCTGGAGAAGACGGTGTGAGTGGTGGACAGAGTGGGGCAGACCTGCCCTCAGGGTGGGGAACAGTCCAACCGCTTGGAGACTGAGGGTACAAAGAGGCAGAGAAAGTACATATTTCTCCTGGAACCTGGAGCTGGGACATGTCTGCCTTTGGACATCAGAACTCCAGGCTCTCTGGCCTTGGGACTTCCTGACTTGAAACCAGGGACCCCTGCCAAGTTCTCAGCCCTCCTGCTTGGGACCGCAAATGACACTACCAGCTCCCTGGTCTTGATGCCTTGGCCTTGGACCGAACCACGCTATGGGCACCCCAGGGTCTCCACCTGGCGGACAGCCCACCATGGAACATCTTTGCCTTCATAATCATGTGAGCCACTTCCTCTCCTCTCATCTGTCTGTCTGTCTGACGCTTTGTAGAGGTGGGGAGAAGGAAGACAGTTGCTCAGCTCAGCTTCCGGGGTGTGGCCGCAGGTTTATGCTGCTGCGGTCCCGGCCCGGCCTCGGCCTCCCGTGTCGGGGATGAACCTCTCCAGGAAGCGCCTGTCCTGTCTCCATTACCTCTGCCCACTCAGATAGGCGATACAGGTGCCTGGCTTGGGTACAACTTACTGGGGTGTGGACTGTGTCCTTTGGGGGGCCTCCTTTCCTGGAGCCCTGAGGAGCATGGTCCTGCTTCCCAGTTTTCTTCTGCCTCAGAGGCACCTTGCTGCAAGGTCCCCTCATGGACCCCCAAGCTCTCTGCTCCTTGTTGCTATGAGACGGGACAGCTCCTGCCCAGCCAAGGTCCTGCCGGGGCACAACTCCAAGTCTTTTTGCCTCTGCTTTGTTTTGCCTGTAGGCGTGCTGTCTTCTGCCAGGCTGGGAAGTTACAAGAAAGATAAGAAGGGCTAGTGCTTATTGAGCACTTACTGTGTGCTGTGTGGATTTTTATCCGACTCTCGCTCTCTTGGTGAGAAGATGGAGCTAGAGAAGAGGGATTAACTTGCCCAAGGCCACATAGAGGAATTGGAAGAGCTGGGATTTGACCCTGGGGGGGGGCGTCTTTGTCTATGGAAATGACAGTGAGGCTGGGCATGTTGGTGCACACCTGTGATCCCAGCTCTTGGGAGGCTGAGGTAGGAGGATTGCTGTGAGTTTGAGGCCATCCTGGAATATACAACAAGACACCTCCCCCTCAACAAAAATGGCAGCAAGCACCCATGAGAGGCTATCTGTCACCTGGGGACTCTGGATGCTGGCTGTGTGGCTCAGTCCGAGGATAAAGGCCCCACAACTCAGAAGGTTGCCAGGATTAAAGCCCGGAGTTCTGATGTCCAAGGGCAGAAGTGTCCAAGTTCCAGGACACAGGGAGGACATCTCCCTTACCCTGTGTTTTGGTACCCTGTGGACGGATCTTCCCACTTTGTCCACCACTGACACCTGTCTCCAGTGACCTTGCACATACACTCAGAGGCATGGCCACCGTGCTAGGTGTTCCTTAAGCAAGCATAGGTGAAACCTACCTCTTTTTTTTTTTTTTTTGCAGTGCTGGTGATTGAACCCAGGGCTTTGTGCATGCTGAGCAAGTGCTGTACCACTGAGCTACACCCCAGCCCATGTGACACCTAAATCAGCCATCATAGTCACCTTCTCTGGTAGCCTGCCCTGACCTCCCCCCTTCCTTATCACTGAGCCTTTTCCCCACATTGTTTCGTTCACTTGTTTTTAATTTTGTACTTATTTGTTTTATTTAGACAGAGTCTTGCTACAGATGTAGCTCACGTTGGCCTCAAACTTGCATTCCTCCTCGCCTCCTGAATGCTGGGATTCTAGGCATGTACCACCACGCCTAGCTGCAGGACTCTGTCTAAAGTACAGTGCTGTTTGACTCATCACAGCCTTCCTGAGGGCGAGGGCTTGGTCAGCTTGACTCCTGGCGTCCCCTGGGCTTGCATGGTGGGCGCTTGGGAAGCGCTTGCTGAGCAGGTGAACGAGGCAGATTGGATGTGCTCCAGTGGGGTGCTGTGTGAGTTAAGCACAACCTTGGCTCTTCTGTTCTGGGGTGCTCCGGTCACAGGTGGACCCTCATGGGGTCCCTGCCATCCCAAATGCATTGAATATGGCAGATGGAGGGGCTCGGGAGAGGGTTGGCACTGGCTGGAGGCCCATCAGTGGCCCTGTGGAACCGAATCGGATCCTGAATAGGTATACCTGGCATTGCGCAAGTTACTTCTTCCCTCTAGCCTCAGTTTCCTCATCTGTAAAATGGGGGTGATGAGGGTACCTGCTTCCTGTGAGCTCATCTCCCAATGCACTTGGAACACCAGCTGGCTTGTAAACATCAGTGACTGTCACTGTCACACAGGAGGGTTTCTTGACGCACTGTAATGAAGCAGACGATACCCACAACTGGGCCACCTGACCTAAGGCAGGAGAGGCTGTGGCTTGGGGACCAGACTCACGTGTGTGAGTCCTGGTTCAGCCACTGTTGTGATGTCCTTTAGGGAAAGTCTTGTCACTTTTCTGAGTCTCAGTGTCCCCATGTAGAAAAGCAGAGCAGTTACAGTAGCCTACCTGAGGGATTGGGAGGTATAAATGGGTCCTGTGTGCCGGTGCTAATTTATTGCATTTTATTTGTATGCTCCCTGAGGGGGGAAGTGTATTGAGGCACTTACCAAAGTAAAAGGAATGTGGCTGAGGAGAGTAAAAGCTGAAAAAACACATAAAGCAGGGCGTGGTGGTGCACGCCTGTAATCCTAGCACTGAGGAAGCTGAGGCAGGAGGCTCACCTCGAATTCGAGGCCCGCATGAAATATATAGCGAGACCCTGTCTCAAAAAATGAAAATAATAAAAACACATGAGACTGTTAGTGAAGGAGCCCAAGAAAATGTGGTCTTCAAGGCGCTGGTGACTTAATCTGGGCTAACTTCCATGCGCTCTGGAGTCTCCTAGCAGCCCGAGGAATAAGGGATAGGTGATGTGCTTAGTTCCGTGATTCTCACTCTGCGTGCCCCCTAACGAGTCAGAGGGGCGCTCCAGGCCCTGATGAGCCTGTGCTTAGAAGGGCACAGCTAGCCGAGTGTGACCAGGTATCCCGAAAGCCAGGGAGCCCAGGGGTGGCTAGGTCGGTCTGACCACTGCGGTCTACACACCAATCGGGGCATTCACTCACCCTTCTTACCTTGCATGCGCTGTTGCCAGGGGATTTTGTCTGAATGGCAGCCCCAGCCCCTGCCATTTCCATGGTGGGTGTCACTGTGGAGGCTCCTGCCGTGTAGACCTTGGGGTGCCGAACTGCCTGTCCCAGTGCCCATCTGCTCATCCCGTTGGCTTAGTGTAACTGGTCTCAGTTACCAGCACAGAGAAAGGAGCCCAGGGAACCCATTTTCTGCTGTCACCAGGGAGCAGCCCTGGAGCCCCAAATTCAGTGGGGACCAACCCCACCTGTGCCTCAGGACAGCTGGCATTTAGCAGGGGTACACCCCACCCCAGCTGTCCTCCCCACTCACAGTCAGCTTCAACAGCTGCCCTTGAGCACTTGTGGCCATAACTGGAGGAGGCGGGACGCTGCCCTGACCCTCAGGATTAGCAGCTTGACTCTTCCACACCACCTGCTCACCACAGTGACCCCATGAGGGTCCCAACTTTGTAAATGCAAGTAGATCCCTGAAGCACCTTAGGCCCTGGTCATCTCCAAATTGCTGGAGGAGCTGGTCCTCAGCATCTGACTTCTAGGTCAAACATGTCCTGATTCTGTACCTTGTGGAGCTTAGAGGAAATTGTGTTGTGGGCTTCCAGCCTTGAGCACTGAGAGGAACAAAAGCTTCCTGAGCACTCGCGCACCCCGGGGACTCTGCACCCACGTCACAGATGTGGAAACAGGTTCTGCATGGTGGGTGAGGGGCATGGCAGTTTGAAGCCAATGCATAGCTGTTCTCCCCTGCTGCCCTCAGCTAGTATGAGAGGGGCAGTGTGACAGGAGAGCACCTGCATGAAGTAAGCCCGAGCCACAGAAGCACAGAATGTTCTAAATGGAAGGACGGTGCCAGGTGCCAGCAGCCGGGTTTCTATCCCAGCCTCTTCCGTTGACCCAGTGCATCTCCCCCAACCCCAGAAATGGCTGATGTCACTCAGCCCTGCCGGCTCTTTCCGGGTATAACCTGGCCAACCCGTCCCACTTGCTCTGTCTGAAGCATTGTGTCCTGCACAAGCTTATTACAAGGTAAACACATCCTTGACTGGCAGTGGCTCAGTCGTACAGTGTTTTTTTTGTTTGTTTGTTTTGAGACAGGGTCTCACTATGTAGTTGAGACTGACCTGGAACTCACTATGTAGCCCAAGCTGATCTCCAACTCACAGCGATCCTCCTGCCTCAGCCTCCCGAGGGCTGGGATTACAGGCTTGCACCACCACACCTGGCTGGTACAGTGTTTTTTTTGTTTGTTTGTTTTGAGACAGGGTCTCACTATGTAGTTGAGACTGACCTGGAACTCACTATGTAGCCCAAGCTGATCTCGAACTCACAGCGATCCTCCTGCCTCAGCCTCCCGAGGGCTGGGATTACAGGCTTGCACCACCACACCTGGCTGGTACAGTGTTTTTTTAGTATTCTCCAGGGCCTGTGTTCTGTCCCTAGCACCAAAACCCTACCAAAGCAAAAAATCCCAGGAAAGCATGGAGTTTGGCTCGCAGTGACTCCCAGGCTCTGCTGCCTCCTTGTGAATGATTCACTTTGGTGGGTAGGGAGGCTGGGAGAGGGGTGCAAGAGACCCTCTGTATTTTCTTTGCAACTTTTCTGGTAACTCACCAATATTCTAGTTAAAAGTTTCTTTAAGTCAGAGAAAAGGGATATACAAGTATCTCCACTGCTCAGCCATAAACTAATTGATAAACTATAAATGACTAGGAAATGCCTATATCAAGCACACTCATGAATAGCGATTCATTCAAAGTAACCATGGGGTATTAGGTGGGATTTAAAAGGAAGTGGTAGGTTTATTTGCACTGATAGGAAAACCTTTGAAATCTGTCATAGATTGAGGAAAACAGTTTGATTGGACTTCATGTCAGGTGTGACAGAACTGCGTGGAAAGTGAGTGGTGCCCCTCGGCTTGTTTACGCCTGGAGCTCAGTCTGGTGTAAGGCAGGGGCTAATGAAGAGGAACCTTTACTTAATTTCATTTTTAAAATGTTAGAATTAAATGTGTTCTCTTGAAAGCTGTGAACTTTTTTTTTCCAGTGAAAATATATTGAGAATGTTTGTCATGGTGTCCACAGAAAAGACAGACAGCACTCTGACTCAGCTGCAATGCAGGGACAGAACCTGCACGGGCAGTGTCTGGTCTGCTCCCCTGGGGGTCTGCGTGCTCCCTTGGGGTCTGGAAGCTCCCTAGGGCAGGGCCTGCTGTGGACTGAGTTTTTCTGGAAGGCATTTTGCTCCTAGATTAAAGCCTGGCTATGCAGCTGATCCCTTCAGGTGGGAACAGCCAAGTGGAGTCTTAGACTGCAGAGGTGTTTGGGGGACTAGGGGGTCTGTGGGGGAAGGGAGCAGGACTTCATGCAGGACCTTCTCAAATGAGGCATGGTGGCAGCAAAGGCTCTGAGGCCCTGTCACCCCAACCCTAAATTCATGTATATACGTGTGTGTGTGTGTGTGTGTGTGCCTGTGTGTGTTATTTATTTATTTATTTATTTGTTTGTTTGTTTGTTTGTTTATTTATTTATTTATTTATTTGAGACCACGTCTGGCTGTTCAGGCTGGCCCTGAACTCACTAGCCCAGGCTGGCCTCGAACTCCTGGCGATCCTCCTGCCTCAGCCTCCTGAGTGCTGGGCTCCAGGTGTGTGCCACCACGCCCAGCACCATAATCCTCAAGAAGCGCCTCAGGCTGCCCTGACCTTTGTTCTCCCCCCCCAGGATGAAGATGAGACGCTACAAGCTCTTTCTCATGTTCTGTATGGCCGGCCTCTGCCTCATCTCCTTCCTACACTTCTTTAAGACCCTGTCCTATGTCACCTTCCCCAGGGAACTGGCCTCCCTCAGCCCTAACCTCGTGTCAAGCTTCTTCTGGAACAATGCCCCAGTCACACCCCAGGCCAGCCCCGAGCCGGGTGGCCCCGACCTGCTCCGAACCCCTCTTTACTCTCACTCGCCCCTGCTCCAGCCGCTGTCCCCCAGCAGGGCCACCGAGGAGCTCCACCGGGTGGACTTCGTGCTGCCCGAGGACACCACCGAGTACTTCGTGCGCACCAAAGCGGGGGGGATCTGCTTCAAACCAGGTACC